TTGCCAGTAGTAAAACACTTTGACCCGAATTTCTTCAACTAAATGTATTTTAGCCTTCTCTGTCAAAGTGGCGACTTTGCAACAAAAAAAAAAGAAAAAATAAAATAAAAAATAAGGAAAAACTTTCACCTCCTTTTATATATAAAGGTCGATTCTTTAACCTCACGGGGGCAAAGATTAATGAACTTACTTGTTGCTCAAGATGTTATAAGAGAGAATAAAAAGTTGTTCTTGTATATTAAGAACGTGTACAAAATGATGATGTCACTCAAAAATTGTGTGTGCGCAAGGGAAAATTTATGGAATCTCAAGAATTGTACGACTTTAAATCGAAGGAATGATGTTGATCATTATTAAACAACCCACACACGAGACGATTCTTGGCATTACATTCATAGTTCCTCATAGATTTTTCTTTATTTTTATAAAAATATCTTTTAATTATTATCAATTTAATCAAACTTTTATGAAACAAAAAAATACTTATTTGTAAAAATATTTAGTTAAATCAACTTTGATGGCATTTATTTTATATAAACGTGATTGATATATTGGATAAGAAATTATTATTCAAGACGAATTATATTCTTGAAAATGAAGTTTAGTCAAAAGTTTCCTTCCATTTCTTTTTTTTTTTTTGGTCTGACAATGCAATTTCAAATCATGCAACAAACAGATAACTATCTTTGCAGAAGGTTTTTGTTCTTCTTCGCCGCGCGGAGCTTTAGAGATTTTCTGAGAAAAGTCTCTGCGTTCTGTAGCAGACACAGTGGATGCGAAACCAGCCCGCAGATTACTAAGTAGGCAGAGAGAGAGTGAGAGAGTGAGAACTTGAAGTAAACTAGCAAAGTTCGAAACGGTTGCACGGACACTGACAAAGTGACAAAGCAGAGTTCTCGCCTTTTCTAGATAATTCTAATGCTCAGCGTACAAATTACTTCTGACAGATCTTCTATCTTCCCCGCAACTTGGCCGCGGAGAAACGATGAATAAAAACTAAGGTTGTGTCACGACGTGAACCTCATTTTCGTATAATTTCGCACAAATGAAACTTGCGTTGAGAAAATGTAATTTTTCACTTTTTTTTGCACATTAAAAAAAACGCAAAAATGAATTATTTTTTTCTCACAATAATTTTTTTAATTACAACTTTCATTATATAAATTAGTTACAATATATTATATTGAAATATCCAAATCGATTGGATTCGTATTAAATTGTATTTGCCGGTGGTCTCGCAAATATTATATTCATATGCGGATGGTAATAAAGAAAGTACTTATTTCCCTTTCTCTGTTCCATTTGAAATTATGACATTTAAATAATTCAATCTGCAATACCCAACCTGAATATAAAGTAGATTGAAGTGGAAATTTTGGAAATGCATCATTCATAAGTCACGAAGAAATATTATTACAATTTTGTATTACTGTGAAGGAACGATTTTTCATCTATTTACAATTATAAAATTTTTTCCCAAAAATACTATTTTCAAAAAAGAAATTTAAGAAAGTGCAAAATAATAAATAAAAGAAATTACAAATGGTAAAATATTTGTCCTCCAACTGTTAATTAAATTATAAAATTCATGGAATAAATTAATCGAAATAATAATTAAATTATTCAAGAGAGAGGGATCCTTAATTTGTCTTTACAACATTAAAAGTATAAGAGAGATTTTAATTCCAGGTATACACTATATATAGTGAACTGGAGGAGTTTGTAGGATTTTCTCATTTTGCGTGGTCCTAGTAAAACTAAGTGGACAACTCGGTTGAAAGCAGTGAGTTGGTTCAGCCAATCTAAGTTTTGAAATAAACGAGATTGAAATGGTTAACCACATGGAGATTGAGACTGAGACAGAAAATGTCTGCCCGACTTATATATACATATATATTGACTGATTTGATTCTATCTGCTTTAATTATTCTGTGTGTGTATATACTCTTAGAAATTTTAGTTGCGATGCGTCGTGTCGAATGGAACGCATTCTATAAATAAATATTATATACTTTTTGCGCGAGAGTCTCCCCCCCTTAGGTTAAAAATACAGAAGACGCTTTGCTTCCTCCATGGCAATGTTCTCACTCTTTTGCCTCTCAACCGCGTGAGAGTGTCTTTATAGGAAACCACGAATAGCCCCAAAGTTCCCTGAAACCTTCTCTCTTCTATGAATATCCTTCGCGCCAAGTGAGACGACAAAATTCGTCTTTAAAACGTGAGGGCACTGCACTCTCTTCATACTAAAAAGACCCCTTAAAATCTCTAATATATTTCAAAAGATATTTATTCTTGTCATTCGAACGCATCGTAATTTAAAATTCAAGGTGTATATGATATACGGACGTTGGATACACGACGACTTTACTTGAATTGAAACTCGATATTCAATTTACAAAAATTCCTTCGCTATTTTCTTATTATTTTTTTTAATCGATAATTTAAAAAAAAAATGTTTAAAAATAAACAATTTATTCGCTACGCAAAAAAATAGAAGCGTTTACATGCGCCCTTGTTGACTCTATATACGTATACCCGTTAAGTTTTATCTCCGAAACCTCGTGCTTCGATGGATAAAATCTTTGGGAGAAATTTTCAAGAGATGAGACGCTACCATCTTGAGTGTCATCCGATTTGCGCGGAAAACAAGCAAGCCATTCAGCGAAAATTGTCTGTGAACTCTCTTGACTTTGCTCAGGAAAATGCAACACGCTACAATCAACATATGTTTCGCTTCTTAAACGAAAATAATTTCCCATTCTCTGTGTTTTAATAGAAATTTATAATTTGCCTCCTAATTTTTATTCTTTTTTCTAAAAAAAAAAATTACCAAATTAAATCTTTAATAAAAAGAAAATTGTATGATAGAAAAAAAGTTGATATGCAATATATTCGATAATTTTTGAAACATGATGAAAAGCGAGAGTACCGCGCGCGGGTAAAAAAGTGTTAAATAATGAAAAAGAATGTTTTCAATTAATTGTTCGACAAAATTGATTCCTTGGAAAAGTTAACCAATGAGTTGAGATCGAAAAGTCTTCGCGGGTAAAAAATATTAACTTGGCGAAAATCCTTGAATTTATCACTCTCTCTCTCTCTTTCTTCCAGAATCTCAGACTAAATTTTCTGCGCGTACCTCACATTTTTATTACTCAAAGTGGAGGCTAGTTTCCGGACCTCGTAATTTCGTGAGTTTGTAAACTCTCCTCGAAAATACTTAAGAAACTATTCCACTAATTTACATTTCCCATTAAACTTGCGTCTGATTAAAATGTAGTGAAAATGTAAAGCCATCGCCTGTGTTTAATGGGATTCTCTTGGAGGGCGCCTTCAGAGGCAACTTATTACCATTTTTTTATTATCATTTTTTTGAATATATAAAAAACAGTACCCACTAGATCATACTAGAATTCCGAATTCTAATTAAATCAAATGAGATCCCACATTCTAAAAAAAATGCAAAAAAAAAAAATAACCTGTGAGTTTGTAGTGTTAAATTGTCGTAATTAAAAAACCTTTATATTACCCTCGGTGACCGTGTGTGTTGAGGAAAAAAAAAGATTTAATAACCTGAAGAATAAACTAGTTGTGCTTGTCTAGAAACTCAAAGGGCTTTTACTCTACTTACACGCAAAAAAAAGAGAGAGAAAAAAAGAGAGAGGGAGCTTTGTGTAGTTGAAATTTCAATGTAAGTATACCTCTAGGGTGAAGAACCAGCGAGCGTCGAGAATATGAAAACATTGGTGAATAAGGTGTAGAATATTAATAGAATATGTAAATAATAAATTTACGATTATACCCTCAGTTGACTTGAGAGGGATACTCAAACAATGTGGATGGAGCCCCCGAATCAACTTAGAAACTTTGTAATTAGATATTTCCGAATAATTAATTGATCTATCGGATCCTTGTAATTGCACTTAAATGTTCTTCTGATATAGTGCAAACTTTAATTAAATTGCATCACTAGTAAATACTTTCATGATTTTCATTCCTTGAAAGATGAAATTTATTTCTTTTCCCCCCGAAAAATAAATTTTATATTTAAAAAAAATGTTTTATTCAAAAATATGACAAGAATTTTTATTTATAAATTTTCTACATTAAAAGTATACCCATGGGAGTAAACTCATTTTTCATCGGGAAATGTTTTCACACTCTCTGGCTAATGATGCTTTAATTCAACATTAATTTGCGTGCTCTCTAATGTGTAAACACAAATTTCATGTAGCTGGCACACCTTTTGGAGAAGCACGCAATGTGTTTTGGTTTCAAAGGCCTACAATTAGTTGTAATAATTCATGGTATCAAATTATATTAACCGCTTTTCTATCCCATTCCAACAAAAAAGAGAAATGTAAAAAATTCTGATTACATATCACGTGTATGTACACAAAAGTTCTTTGATATGAAATTTGTTTGTAGATTTTTAAATTACTAAAGCACATTCATTCATTTTCAAATACATATATCGAAAAAAAACCCTATCTCGTAATTTCATTTGTTGGCTAATATTTAATTTAAAACCTTATTTTTTTCAAAGTATATTTGTATTACGAATTAATTTATATTTATTTACACTTTTTTTAGTTTGTAAATCATTTACTAATTCCATTATTTTTGTTAAAATAATTTTTAATTTCCTGTAATAAAAAATTAGAAATAAAAAAATTTTACGGCTGAGGAGATTCGAACGGGATTTAACTACCTCGCACTTTTAGATGCCTTAACGACTGCGACCATCGCACAATTCGATGAATTTTTATTCGTCAATCAATTTTGCCAATCAGAATGCACTTTTTTAATAAATTTTTTTTAAAAAAAGCAGTAAAATAATAAATAAATAAGTACTAATAGCAATGAGAATGTGAAAATACAAAAAAAATGTTTATGTGCATAAAAATAAAAATGGGTCACAAATGATAACAGTTTTGATGCAATGCGCAATTTGCATGAAAGTAAATTGTCATAAAAAAAATAAATCCCTTTCTATTTTTCAGTGTGCGTGTGTGGTGCGGCTATATCTGCAATGGAATTATTGAAAACACAATTTCATCTGAATAATCACGAAACCATTACCGAACAGTGTTACATACTTCAATTCGTGAATTAGTACCGATGCAATTCACCGGCAATTGGAAGTAAGTGCTTTATCGACATGTTTCTTTTGTAAATTTACATATATTCAAAAATAATAATTATTTATACGCCAAAGAGGAGGGAAAATTTTTTTTTATTCATTTGAATATACTTTATATATTTTTTTCCATATATATTAAAATACCTTTTGCGAAGTATTTTTGAAATATAAATTATTTTCTTTTAACTTTTTTAAAATGATTTTATTTTTTTAAAAGTAAATTTTCAAATCTTTTAGTTGATTTTCCCTTCCCTTTGGGGTTTTTTTACTCCGAAGTAACTAATCATTCGTTTGCCTTTAGAAAAGCGTGAATTTCGCGAACATTTTTATGTGCCTGTAATTTTTCGAAATCTCTATTTAAAACAGTGGTTGGTGGGCATAAAAAATGAACAATAAATTTGAATCGTTATATGCGCGCTTCTATATATCCCGAACTATTTTATATGCATGCTTTTTGCCAAGTTAAACATATGCACATTATATGCGCATACTCGGTAGATTTCCATGGGATCGCCCGTGGCTGTCTGACCCAAATTTAGAGTCGTCGTCGTCGCTCAGTTCTTTGTTTTGTGCACAATCACGCAAAGAAACCATACATTGCACTCTATCCGATCGCATAGATTCGTGTCGTGAGACTCCCAGTGTCCTTTCCGAACGAAAAAAGAGAGAGAGAGAGAGGAGAAAAAGGAAAAAAGCGACCTCATTTTTCATCAAGGCTCGGAAGATTATACCTCTGTTCTTCCTTCTAGATTCGAGATGAAAAAAAAGAGTATCTTTTTATTCCACCCCCCCCTCCCCATCTCTCTCCAAAGGTTTCTTTTGCCCCGTATATAAGACGAGAACTTGTTCGCTAGAAAAAACATTTCGTTAAATAAATTTACACTTCTTCTTCTGTTTCTTTACCTTTTTATTCATTAAGACGAGAGAGAGAGAGTACTTTTGATAAGAGCAATTATTATTTTTAATTACGGTGAAATTTAAGAATATAAATATATAAAAAACGAGACAACTGAAAATTTTCATCTCCGTTGAATTACATAACTATTTGCCTCTAAATGAAAACTGGTATCACTTTCATTGAAGAAACTTTTCTTGTATATAATTCAATTGATTACATCTTATCAAAACTTTTCCTTTTGTACATTATAATATATGCAATTACATTATATCAACTGTGTCTTTTCTTATTCGCAAAATGCTATAACTTTTTTTATTTGATTCTTTATTAATTATATAGGAAAAGTTTTAGTTGTTCTCAAGAGTAAGATAAAAATTTTTAAAATAAAGTTGCTCATTCTCACTTGTTATGCAGATTTTATAGCATCATGTCGAGAAAAATAGATTTGGAATTTGGAAAAAAAATGAAACTTATAGATTGATTAATAGCCTTATCAGTTAAATGAAGTGTCGCTACAATTAATCCAATGACCCCCGAGTTTCGATTCAGTAAATTGTTTTGATGGACGAATATATAAATCTGTATCCGACTACTACGGCTGGTTTAAATGAGTGGCTAGTGTCATTAATCGGATAATAAAAAAAGGCACTTGTGCGAATTTTGATTCATGAGCACACACTGAAGTATTTTCCACTTGAACATGCGAGTCTCGGAGATCAAATGTTAACTGAACGAGTTGGTGGAGAAACAGTAGCAACAGCAGCAGGGGGTTAATGTTCGACCACTTTGTTTCATAAGCGTCCCCAGTGCAGCCTAGGTCGTTCTTAGTTATATTATCCCATGGATGCCTATATATATATATGGCGTTCATCTCACTATAGCATTTCGAGGACAACAACGCAAGCTTTGGGCTTTTGGTTGTTCAATATATCCCTTGCTGTTGCATTGCTGTCTGCCTTAGTATTGACATTTTATGTGTCGACACTTTCCATCTAGGATGTCTCGTAAACCATTGTTTAAGCATTACAGACAATGCAAATATATTATATCAACACAATATTTCAAAATTTCACGTTGAATTATGTCTTTCAACCCGATGGTAACTCAAGAGCTATTTCTTATCTTCCATGAAACTATGTTTCACAAACACATACACTCACACCATACAATGTTAATCTAGTTAAAGTCTTTTTGCTTTAAATTTCAATTAAAATTACTCGAGAGAAATTTTCATTAAAATATTTTCGCGGGGTCGATTAAAATTGTTTAAAAGCAACTTTAATAATTGGGGGGGGGGGTATATGCAAATTGTTGGAAAATTGAGTTTAATAATAAATTGAAATTAATTGAAAGCACTTTTATATGTAATCCATATTTTCATAAATTTTAATTTTTTCCAAATGGAAGAATCTTTTTATTTACAGTTGCTATAAATGTGTCTTAATTATTTTGTAATACTTTATTTTTTAAGATAAATTAATTTTGTTTTTCGCTACAATAAAATAAACTCAATTCACGCTCAATTTATATACACATTCAAATTCAAAGTACATAGTAAGAGAAAATAATATTGCACAAGAAGTTCAAAGTTATAATTATAAATTGTACCAACAACGCACTTAATATTAATGAGACTCTTTTCACACAATGAAATAAGAGTAATGTTTAATATAATAATTTAGTTAATTAGAACTACGCTTCTACAAATGAATGTCCAGGACACCTTCCTTTACATTGTCATTGCTTCACAAAAGCACCTCCCTGGTATAACTTTGTATATATCATAATTCTAACAGAAATAATTCTATGAGAATTTAACTTGCAACCATTATTACATTTTCCCTATGCAATTTAAATGAAAAACTTTATAAAGGAAATAACGCCAATAAATGATAGATATTTATTTGTTTGATATTTTCAATTTTAATAATTATATATTTTTCAAAGTATTGCCTAATTAAATTTAAATTATTTTTTCATTAAAACACAAAAAAATCAAGTAATTTAAATTCGATTGAAAGAAATAAGGGATCGAATGACATTTACATTTCAGTTCTTCCAGTTGAAGAACTATAAACATTTGAGACTGCATTCTATATTGCATTAGATTATTCTACTTGCATATGACAAATATCGAATAGTGATGGAAATCAGAATTACTTCTAACTGAATGCACTTCGTTGAAAGTTTGACTGCAAGTGGAGTCGAAGCGTAAAGCGAAGATTCTATTAACTTTATTGGAGACAGTTTATTGAGGTGGAATGACGAAAAACTTTTTTGCACAAAGACAAATTGAAAAGAGGCAAAGTACGTCTTGAGAAGCAGATAGGAACACTTTTTCCATTCTTGCGAAAAATTACCTATATTATATCACATTTTCATATACATATAAATATCAATTTTTTCAACAAACTTTTAATTCAAAATTATAAAAAAATAATAAATTCAGAATAATTTTCAGAGAAATATAAAATATGGATAAAAAAATACTTAAAAAGAGATTTATTTAATTAAAAAATTAGAAATATTTTGATTATTCAGAGGGAAATTTTCATGACAAAATTCCGTTTCACTAAAATAACAAAATTACAGTATTAAAAGAACTTTGATGTATTTAACGTTAAAATTGTTCGATAAAATAAAAAAAAACTTTTTTCTTTTAGTGTAAAAGCTCATAATATATTACCATATATCAATCTACTTTGACGAATGATTGTATATAAAATAATTTTAAAAATACACGAATGAAGGAAAAATGTTTAATAATCACATTCGTGCAATGAATATATAAAATGAAATATGTGAATTATAATGTCAAACATAGCAAAAAAAATATTATATAAAATATAGCGAACCAGAATATTCCTCTTGATTTTCTATATCTACAATAATTAATTGCCAATCGCGTAATTATCGAGCCCATATATCTCGTTTTAATTAACAAAAAATATATTGTTCAATTTTTATGTACATAGTGTTCATTAAAAATTCTATACACAAATATCCAGGTTAATTTATAAAGCTTATATAAAAATAAAATCTCTTTCTCGCTATGTGAAATTTTTAGATATTCAGGAACGAAAAAAAAAGCTTTTTTAAAAACAGATTTTTTTTTTTGCTTTTTTTGTAAATATTTTTTTAAAAATATTTAAAGGTTTTTTGAAAGCATATTTTTGAAAAATATTTCTCTATTATTTTTTTTAAAAGCTTATTTTTGTAAAAGTTTATTTAAAAAAATGTCCGAAAGCTTTAAAATCACTTTTGGCAATTTCATTGATTTATTTCTATATACCGACAATGGTACGTATGACGGGTTAAAAATGAGGAAATGAACCCTCACGAGGGGTGAATAGAGAAGCTTGATGGACCAACGTTTACCGAACCATCGGTATCGGGCATTACTCGATCAAACATGATAATGAAGAGGCTCGTTTACTCGGCACCATGTTCCACACATGAGAGTCGATTCTGCGTTTTCGACGCGATCGCGAAATTCATGACACTATATATAGTGAAAACAGTAACTCAAAATCAAATAGAACCTAAAATCATCTATCCTCCGAGTTGATTATAGTTACGTCATATTTGACAACTTCTCTCAATGCGTGAAATTTCTCCTGTTTCACATCCCAAAGGCTTCAATTTATTATTAAACTGGATAAAAAGTAATTTAATAAATTAATGCATTTAATTACTCTGAAAGGTTTTGGTTAAAATACTTTACAAATTCTTTTGTTATTGATTATTATTATTATTTATTAATTAATTTATTGTATAGATAATATTTAGAGTAATTATTATAATTTTACCCAATTAGGGAAATATTAATTAAAAATATACGCGTTTCTTGTTTTAAATTAATTAAACAAATTTTTTTTAGTTTTCATGTGAGAAAAGAGTGCAAATATGTATGTTTATATTTTCCAAATGCTTATATAAAAATTATTCATTTTAAAATAACGTATTTTAATTATCCTCAGAAATCCTCGAATTAAAGCCGATTGTACAGGAGCTTAAAATTTTAATATATTCCCTGTGATTATTGACTTTGTAATGATTTGATATATATAATTCACATTAAAAACAATGAGTGATAAATGAAA